TACACTTGGCTCTAATACAAAGACATTTAATTAAATTAATTTTGTAAGTTCTAGGCTCATTGCTGGTCCATTTCAGATAGAGGCCTGTATCAGTTGGTTTACGCTAAATATAAAAGTAACTTTTACACTGAACTACTTGATACACACGTGAATCGAGAGAAGGAAAAAGGTTAATGGTGGTAGTTATGTTTATTTTCGAGGACAAAGAAACAAGTCTTCGTATCTATGCCATTTTATGGTCAAGGCTCTGTGATCCTAGCCAATCTCATATCCACATACAAGAAGATCAGGTTGAGCATAGAAACATGGAGGGACTTGTAGAGCAACGTCGACAAAAAGTTGTAAGATCAAGATTTGATGACGAAGATATGGATACTCCTATGAATGATGATCAATCTACTTGTCCTAAAACACCCCAAACTGCACGTTATAGTGGTCCTCATCAAGAAAAAATTTATATAAACAGAAATCTTCAAAGACAGTTCAATGAGCAAGAATATATTAATCCTGGTCAATATTCTGAACAGATTCTTGTTTCTGATCAAGCCATAGCACATTCTATCGATACTCGTCTACCTATGATTAGAATACAGTGTAATCCTGCTCTCCGATCAAAGGAAACTGGTGTTCAGTTTACAAAGGATTTTATGAAATATATTGAATCGAATTTTCGTAATGAATATCCCGGTCATAAAGACCCAATTGGATTAGATCAGTGGTGGCTACAAGGTGATGGAAATTTTTTTTGTGGTGTTACTGACGATATTGATTTTTATATGTTTTTATGTGATGATAGCCATTATCCATTTTCTATTGGTAATGTGCAGATTAAGCTGGAACCACCAAAACAACTACCTGCACAGAATTCTGTTGTAATCAAGTTTGTTCCTACTACTATCTCGAAAGATGATGTACTCGATGAGATGAAATCACGTTTTTCTTCTATATTTATGATTAATGAAATGACAGGAACTACTAGGTCAAGTGCTCAGAATATTCGTGTTATCTTCAAGCAACAAAATGAATTTAAGAAAATTCTCTATGAGAGGAGAATTGTAAGAACTATATATATAGAACATATGTATTGTACGGATCTTAGGATTGTGTACGACCTTTGGGAGTGGGATGATTTTGTGACTTTGAGCCTCACTGAGGAGAGAGCACTCCTTGACTATTTGTATGACTATTGGATGAGATTTAAGGACCATCTTGATATCTCTTCTGAAGCATCTGCATATAGAGAAACTTGGGAGGCTTATCTTATTGCTACATCACCGGATAGAGTCCGTTCCTATTATAGGTCTATGGAATTTCGTAAGAATAGTGTGTTTCCTAATCGTTTGGCACGGCAAGCTCATCATACGAATCTTGATCTTTTTTCTTTCTTTTATGATCATGAACCACAAAATGATATATTTCGTTTCTCTTCTCTTTTTATTGAAGATTTTGCGCACAAGTTTCTTTATCCACCGTGATATATATATTGCACAGTCGATTTTTTATTTTCTGTCTACTTCTATTAATTATGTTTTTCCTTTGTTTTTCTTTATTTTCTTCGTTTCCTTTTTTTCTTCTTGTTTCTTCTTTGTCTTAATTAATACGTCCAGGAGGAGTGATTTAGGTTCTATATATTAAAAACTATATATTGTATGTATACTTGTATGTATACAGAATTTTTCTTCTTGTTAACCCTTTTGGGAACAATAAACTTATTCAATGTTAAAAACAAAAAAAACTCCTAACTGTCTACTTTCGAATGCACTATGGTTTGCTGGTGGTCCGATGGTTTTTGAGGGTTTTACAGAGATGTTTCTGAAACACTCAAAATCAGAGAAAATGACTTTTTTGCAAATTTCAGCCATTAGGAAAGTATCCCGCACGTATGTCTGCATGTGTTCATTTGATTCGCCATAGTCGAGAAAATCTGACGAACTATTCTCACTTTCTTCCAATACCACGTATTGAAGAAAAAAAACTTGATTTCAAAAGTCAAAATTAGTTTTGTGTTTTTCTCAAAATGGATTTTTCTGTTTTTACCTGTTCATGCACCCAGATTTCTCCGCCATTCTACACGCTCCTTGGGATGCTCGGGAAGGTCTTAAAATGAAGTGACAACTTGGCGCTACAACCTAGCATGACCGGATTTTTCTTTTCAGTTTAACTTTTGAGAAAAATTAATTTTTCTGAAAAGTAAACCATAATTTTTCCAACGTTTTCAAAAACAGCTGTTGGAAAACATAAATCGAAAAAATTTAAAAGTCCGACCTTGCTACGTTGTAGCGACAAGTCTTAGCTACATTTTAAGATCTACCCGAGCTTTCTACCATATAAAATGGGGGAAAATCTGGGTCGCACGGACGCCTACTTTTCGACCCTTAATTTCAAGGTAACCCTGGGAAAACTCAACACTTCGAGCTCAAACTTTGTGCGTGATATATCAAACACAAGGGATATGTAAATTTTACGGTTTTTAAAATCCTAAAAGGACGGGGGACGATAAGACCGCAAATCCGCCCACCACCAAATCCATTATGCATTAACTCATCTGATGCAGTTTTTCTTGCCCATTAAACCTATCATATTTTTAGCCAATAAAAATCCTTTCGAACGCCCCTGGAAGCCTTTTGCCAAACTAAAATCTTCTTGCTTTAAACGAAATTG